GGAAAAATTATAGGGTGCTGAGTGACAAATGACAAGATAGGGTCTTTAGGGTATTGATTGTTTATATCCCCATGGAAAACACATCTCAGAATGGCCCAGGTATCTATGCAGGCAGCCAGGGTCTTGATCTGGCTGGCGGTATAGGGTACTCGGATGGCTTGTGGTCCTGAGCCAAAATGTTGGACAGCTCTATCATGCGCTTCAAGGGCCAATGAAGCGACTGCCTCCGGGTAATGCTCTATGACTTTTGCAGGTGAGACCTTAGGGTGTATCCACAGTAGTGGTCCTTTCTGCCAAATCACCGCTGTAGGCTGTAGACTAGTCTGTAGCAAACAGACATCAAAGGGTCGCCCTGGTTCAATTCTGTGTAAGGTAGCCCCACCTAAGGCTTTTTCCACTCTCTGTAAGGCAGCTCTTGCCTCAGGAGTGAGCCTCCTGTGGGAGGCTATATCTGGGTCTCCCTTCAGAAGGTCGAACAGGGGTTTGAGATCTGAATTTGGTATATGTAAATATGGCCTAATCCAATTAATGTCTCCCAATAGCTTTTGCATGTCATTTAGGGTCCTAACGCCATCCATCCTAATGGTGACCTTCTGCGGAGAGACTAGCATAGGGGAGATTCTCGCGCCTAAGTAGGTCACCATTTCTCCTCCCTGAATCTTGTCGGGGGCAACATGCAGATTAGCTTGTCTCAGGGCCTCGACCAACTGGCTGAGCATATTATTTAGCATGTCTGGGTCCCTGCCGCTGAGCAAAAGGTCGTCCATGTAATGCATACATCTTATCTTGGGAAAGGATTTTCGTAGGGGGGCCAGTAGGGAATCAAGGTAAATCTGACACATAGTGGGACTGTTGGCCATACCTTGGGGCAACGTTACCCACTCGTATCTGAGATCAGGGCTTTCTTGGTTAATGGTGGGCAAAGTAAAGGCGAACCTATGAGTGTCCTCTGGGTGCAGGGGAATTGAGAAGAAACAGTCTCTAAGGTCTATAACATAAACTGGCCAGGACTGAGGGATGGCTGAGAGAGCTGGCAGCCCCCTCTGGACCGCCCCCAGGGGCTGCATCTGCGCGTTGACCGCCCTTAGATCATGGAGCAGCCTCCACTTGCCAGACTTTTTCTTAATTATAAAAATGGGGGTGTTCCATGGGGAGGTTGACGGCTTAATATGTCCTAATCTAAGTTGTGTACTGACTATTTCTGACAAGGCTAATAGCTTCTCCTTAGGCAGGGGCCACTGAGGTACCCAAACCGGATCATTTGATTTCCAGGTGATTTTGATCGAAGTGGGTAGGAGAGCTTCTTCAGCGGCCCCTAAGAAAAACCCAATCCTTGCCTACCTTTTTTGTTTTCTACTGGTATTGGGGATGTCCGACCCTGCAGGGCATTGCCCAAGCCTTTGCCGGGGGTATATCCCTGGTTCCTGAGTATATCCTTAGCCTGGGGGGAGCAGTTTGACGTAAGCGTGACATCCATCTGAGTGAGGATGTCCCTTCCCCATAGAGACACTGGCAACTGCAACACAAACGGTTGGAAATGGCCCTGATGACCCTCCTCATCGCACCAGAGCAGGGTTGAAGCACTAACCTGAGGAGCTGACACCATCCCCAGGCCCTGCAGCGTGTTATCTGCAGTGTTGGTGGGCCAGTTGGAAGGCCAATCCTTTCTGGAGATAATGGAACGGTCAGCTCCTGTGTCTAGGAGCCCTGTTATATTCTTGCCATTGACCTTAAGTGAGAGCATGGGCCTTTTACCAAGTGTCATATGGAGTCCCTCAAAGACTTCCCCTGAGGAACCGAAACCTTGACTTTCTCTAATTTTCTGCTTTGAGGGAAATCTCTTGTGGAGACTGGGGAGCAGCAAGAGCTGCGCTATCTTGTCTCCTTTATTGATTACCATAGTACCCACAAGAGATTGAACCATAATTTTAATATGTCCTGTGTAGTCTGAGTCTATGACCCCTGGGACTACTGTGAGACCCCGAAGGGCCGTGGAGGATCTCCCGATCACCAGACCCACGGAATTTTCGGGTAACGGTCCCTTAAAGGTGGTTTCAACCACTTGAACACCCATATCAGGCACTAATATAAGTCCTGAGGCGACACTGAGGTCCACACCTGCTGACCCAGGGGTGGCCCTTGTTGAAGGCTGCCACCCTGAGCTGTCCTGTCTCTGGGGCGGGGGCCCGCCTGTGAAGGGGGCCCCCTCTGGCCGTTTTTTGGCTCTCTAGCATCTTGTCCACAAATACGGTTGCCCTGAGCATCAAAGACCGACCTACACTCCTCAGCTTTGTGTGATCCCTTTTTGCATCGCCCACAAACATATGGTTCTTCATTCCTAGGGCGAGGCCTAGCATCTGCATTGTTTGGGCAATGACGTTTAATGTGTCCTGGCTCCCCGCAGGCAAAACACCCTTTAGCCTTACATTCCCCTTCTAACCCGCGAGGTCCCCTCTGCTGTACAGCCGCGGCCAGGAGAGCAGCCACTCCCGAGTTGGAGAGCGGCCCCCCTATCTCTCTGCATATCCTAATCCAGGCGTTGAGGTCCTTGTTCTTATGAGGAGCTATCGCTGCCTTGCACTCCTTTGTACATTGCTCAAAAATCAGCTGTCTTACCAGCGGTTGAGCCACTCCCGGATCAGGAAATATCTTATCGGCAGCATCTTGCATTCGGGCCACAAAGTCAACAAATGGCTCTGTGGTACCCTGAATTATTTTTGAAAGACACAAGGAGGCTGTTCCGGCACCACTTACCTGTTTCCAGGCGCGGAGCCCTATGGCATTGATTTGTTCATAGACAGCGCCGGGGAACTGGGTCTGGTCATCAGCGTGCCGACCTTCTCCCATAAGCATTTCCTTGTTCCACCCCCGGTTTCCCCAATTGGCGTTTCTCTCAGCCTGCTCTGCAGAGAACTCTGCGTACCAGGCTCGCCAATCCAGGTAACTGCCCGAGGGCAGACACGCCTTTGCCAGCTGAATCCAGTCCGCGGGGGTGAGGGGCCCAGAAGACAGATTCTCCAGCATGGCAATGGTGTAAGGCGCAGTCGGCCCAAAGGTTGTAACTGCATTTTTAAGTTCTCTAATCTGCTTTATCTCAAAAGGCTCCCATACATTGCGTCCCTGGCCCATAGCTACTTGTACAGGAAATATCCCGTAGGGGCCACTATCTATCCCAGGTGGATGTACCTCATGAGACAAGCGTCCCCCCTGCCAAAGCCGCCTGTAAAAATACCGACCCGCCGGCGGCGGAGCATAAGACAGCGGCCGTGATTGGGCGGAAAATGGGGGCCCGTGCATCACTTCCTGTTCTGGCGAAAGGGGAGAGAGCTCCCAGGCGGCCGCCTCGTGGCGAGGAATCGCCTCCCGGAAACGGCCCCCAAGGTGGGGCGGAAGGCTTCGCCTCCCTCTCGCGCCGGGGAGCGCTCAGGAGCTCTCTACTCCTCCGCAGACCAGGTTGAGCAGAGCGCAATTCGCGGGGCAACGCTGGAAAAGAACCCTGCGACTCCTTATTGAGCGATTTAGGCTCCTGACAGCTGGTCTCTTTGGCCTCCTTGCCATTCAACTTTCCCTCGTCCTCGGAGTCAGACGACTCCGAGGCTAGAGCCCCGTCCTCCTCCTTAGCATCCTTGTTCCCCTTGACGGACCCCTCTCAGGAGCTCCCTGACTGGGCCTGCTCAGATACCCTGCGTACTTTTGTAAGCTCTTGAGAGCTTTCTCCACAACCACCCTCGCTCTTAGTGTTGCTACCTAACATGTTTCCCATCTTTTAATATGTTACTCACCGCGTGAGGCCCAAGGAATCCGCCACTTACGCGTGAGCCTGAGGGGAGTCTAAAAGCCCTGTAGGTGCGCGCCACCCAGAGCCCAGGCTTATCCCCAACTCACCTGTCTCGCAGCTCTGTACTGGAGCGTTGTCCACTTCCACGTCTCGGGGGTGATCAGTCCCCGTACGGGCCACCAAATGTCGATGTCCGCTCCCGGCCGGCAGGAAGGACACACGACAAAGTCTGGTAGTGGACAACCTTTTCTTTTTATTTTCCTTCTCCGTACAGCCTGCCCTGGGTTCTCCCAGCTGAAGCCTCCTCTGGTCCGCTCCCCGCGGCTCCTTTTGTGCTTCAGTCTGCCCCAAAGCCTCTACCGGTCCGCTCTCCGCGGCTCCTTTTGTGCTTTTACTTCTGGGCTTCTACCTGGCTTCTTCTTCCGCCCAGGGGTGGCACCGGTATATATACGGGTACAGTGTCCAATCATGTTAAAGTAAGCAAGGCAAGCTGATTGGCTAACATCATCAGTTGCCAGGCAGACTATATTGTTGAGCGGGTTGTTTACGCGGTAAGCAGGAAACTAACATATTCGATGGGAGGGGTAATCTACCTCAGGCTTTGCTCTTTACCACAGGCCGCACGTCCGCCGCGCAAGGCGAGCTATCACAGACGCGGCTCCCAACAAGTAGCAAGTAAGGATCTCCTTTTGGTTCATTCTTTCATAACTTGCTGCTGGTTTCAATGTGGAACAATATAAGCTTACTTGCAAGCCATCATTTTATTTGTGGTTCAAAATCTTCAGCGTAACGGTGGTGATCTCTACTGACCGGAATGATTGTCTCCTTCGTTCCAGTCTAATAAACACTGGGTGGAGGGGAGAATGGCAAAGAACCACAGAGCGGGAAGTAAGATAGGTCATTTGGGGTAGGGATCTAGAAGGCCAGGCTTATTTTTGGAAGGATGTGTACCCTGTGTGTTGTTAGCTGCAGGAGAATGGGAGATGAACTTGGCTGCAGGTGTGGTCCGGGGGTGGCAGTGGCAGCAGAGACACCACGTGGGCGGCGCATCAAGGTGAAGACAAGGTCGGGAGAAGGAAGGCAGAACTGGCTTCAGCCTGAGAATTGTTCATGCAGAAGTAGCTTCCTGTGCCCCCATGGAACCCATGCAGTTGTTCTCGCTGTCCTCCCTGAGGCCAGCTCAGGCTTGCATTCATATTTCTCCCAAGAAAAAACACTAGTAGAGGTTCAATGACCCCATTGGAGGGATTTTTATTTGTTATAATTATTAAACATGCTAAAATCACAGAGTAGCTATTCCATTTCTGCCCTGACTTCGCAGGGGGCAGGTGGGAACTAATGGAATCACTTGGCTCGCACAGCCTCGGGACTGGGGGTTTGGGGGAGTAGAGTTGAGGGTTAGAGGTAGGCAGGTTAGCAAAGCCCCAAGAATCTTTCATGTACTGCACTTGTAATGGCCATAGCCTGTGGTTTTAGAGATCTCCCCATTCTTGACTTTTCTTTCTTCCCTGAATCCCCTCTATACCTTAATTCCTTGCTAATGGCCTTAGAGCCTATTCTGCCTCTGCCTGTTATGGTCTTAGACTGGATGGTGAGTGAAAGTTTTCTTTGCCTCCTTAGGTGGGAGCTAAACTGTTCAGCATGCACTAATGTGGTAAGCTGCTAGGTACAGGTCTGCCTGGGGAAAAGGAGGCTCCAGTCCCCACGGTGACTTTGATCCTAGGAAGTTGGAGGTGGTGGGTGGAAAGATCTGGAATGTCACATGAAGTGGGAATGTTGTAACCGGCAGACAGTGCCTCTGCCCCAGTCTCAGGTACCCTATTCTAAAGGCTCCTCCCTTTTCCACATTGTTGATAGGGAGTGGGGAAGGGACCTGTCAACCTGAAAGCCTCTTATGCTCCAACCCCACAGGGCAGACCTAGGTACTTAGCCCAAGGAAAGACTGGTTCACCCTTAGGGAGATGGCTGCCACTGAAGTTTTCATCTTCTCCATGTTCTTTGTGCCTCTACTGCTGTGATGGCTTCAGAGTGTCAGAGAAAAGAGTTTAGAGCTAGGTTGGCTTTGCCTCAGTGAGAGGCTAGAGGGACAAAGGGCCAAGACACATGGGAGTCAGGGCTGTGGAGAAGGGAAAAGAAGGTAGCAGCGTGAAGGGCAAGACTGGCCATTCAGGGGCTAGGGTCCTTTTTCCTTTTCTGGAATCGCCGGAACTTGCCCTGAATGGCAAGAGCAGCCTTCTCTGTCTCCGGTGCCGTCAGATCGATGTCAATCTCCTCCTCCTCCTCAGCCTTCTTGGCATTGCCAGCTTTCCCTGTGATGGTTGGATACAATTGATTAGTCCACCTGCTCACTTGACCCCTGTTCCTTGGGCCCCAAATACAACCGTTAAGGGGCTCCTCCAATCTTTGCTAGGATTATGGGTGACTGATAATTCCTCTAGAAGCTTGAATCACAATACTTAGGCTGGGAACCCACTACAGTTACTTTAGGAGTAGTTTTGCTATTTTGACAAATGTCTTCAATACCATTTATCCCTAAATCCTACAGTTCAGATCCCAAAAATACTTTTCCCATACTTTTGCTAATTTTTCTTTCTTTCTTTCTTTCTTTTCTTTCTTTCTTTCTTTCTTTCTTTCTTTCTTTCTTTCTTTCTTTCTTTCTTTTTTTTCTTTCTTTCTTTCTTTCTTTCTTTCTTTCTTTCTTCCTTCCTTCCTTCCTTCCTTCCTTCCTTCCTTCCTTTTTTGTTTTTGTTTTGTTTTTGTGAGACAACATCTCACTATGTTCAAGCTGGACTTCAACTCACTTTGTAGCCCAAACTGGCCTTGAATTTACAGCAAGTCCCCTATCTCAGCACCCCCAGGGCTGGAATTACAGGCATGTGCCACCATACCCAGTTTTGCCCCTAATTTCTGATGGAGACAATGACCAGGATTACCTGATGAGTTTCTTTTTATCATTGTACTGGCCATCCCAAACCACTGCAGACCTATTAGCTTCTAAAATAAATGAGGAAATACTGAAAGGTTTTCTTCTTAAAAAGAAGTGGAGGGGCTGGGGATTTAGTTCAGCGGCATAAGCGCCTGCCTTGCAAGCAGGCAGTCGTGAGTTCGATCCCTGGTACCGATAAAAAGGAAAAAAAAAAAAAAAAAAAAGAAGTGGAAAGAAGCTTGTAGATATTCTTATTCATCTGAGGTCTAACTTTTGGAGATTACAGATTTACATCCCTGTTTGTCTTCATGCCCTTACCTTCACATGCTCTGCAAGCTGCTTCCCCCAACCCTACTCACCTTTTTCCTCTGGGCCAGATGCCTGGTTGGTTGCTGGGGATGTTTTGGTGTTAAGCTGAGGGAAAAAAAACAGAATATTAGACATTTGTGGGACTACTAAGGTACCATCCCCTTAGGTGCTCATGCTGTTTATGATTAGGCACATTCTCTTGGTCTTTTGAAGAAGTAGGTCTTGAGATCATGGAGAGAAGAAAAATCACTCAACAAGTATTTACTGGTGCTAGGGAAATGAGAAAGGACAAAACAAAGAGACCTGGTCTTTGTGGAGATTAATCTAGTGTATTCTCAGACAAATAAGTAAATAACATGACTACAATGTTAGATAGTGATACCTGCTATAGAGAGAAGGCAGATAGTAAGTGTAGGGGGGAAAACAGGAATTGAGTTTTACACAGAGTTGTCTGGAAAAGCCTATCTGACAGATGGCATCTGAGCAAAGAACTGAATGAGATGAAGAAGTAAAGGCTGTGACAAGCGCTTGCCAAGGCAATGGGTGAATACATGATTAGCTTGTCTGAGGAACAACAAGCAACTGGCGTAGCTGGAGGAGAGCAAGGAAGGAAGAAAGATGTATGCAGGGGAAATCAGAGCTAACCAGGTGGGCAGATTTTCTGTGCACTAGAAGGGTACAGAAGCTGCTGAGACAAAAGCTTCCCTGGGGCAATCTCCTGGGGCAGTCTCCACATGTCAGGGGAGATAGATGCTGCGGCCTTTGTTTGGCTTTGTTCCTCACAGCTCCAAAAAGAATCAGGATCTTGATAAGTTCTATGAGCTGAAGTTCAAAGCTTGGCCCATTATGAACCAGTTTGGTCCCTCAGCACTTATACAACTCTCCAATTTTTCATCCGTAAAACCGGAATCAGCCAGCACCCCTCCACAAGGCTCCATGCCCAATAGCACCACTGTGGTAAAGATACCAGGGACTCCTGGGACAGGAGGTCATCTCAGCCCTGAGAACAATCAGGTATTGATTAAGAAGAAGTTATAGGACTTAGTAAAATAAGTGGATCCTAATAAACAGTTGGATGAAGATGTGGAGGAGACACTGCTACAGATGGCTGATGACTTTATCAAGAGCATGGTAATGGCAGCCTGCCAGCTTGCTCAGCATCGTAAGTCCAGCACGCTGGTCCAGCTGTATCTAGAGTGCCAGTAGAACATGTGGAACCTAGGATTCAGCTCTGAAGAAATCTGGCCCTACAAAAAAGCTTGCACCACAGAAGCATATAAGCAGAGAATGGCATTGATCTGGAAAACACTAAGAAATAACATACAAATAAACCAAGCATGGTGGCTCACACCTGTGATCCTGGCACTCAGGAGGTTGAGGCAGGAGGATCATTGTGAGTTAGAAACCAGTCTGGGTTATACAGTGAGTTCAAGACCAGCCTGAATTGCAAAGTGAGACCCTGTCTCAGAAAGACAAAAAAGAAGAAGAAGAAGAAGAAGAAGAAGAAGAAGAAGAAGAAGAAGAAGAAGAAGAAGAAGAAGAAGAAGAAGAAGAAGAAGAAGAAGAAAGCAAGCAAACAAGAAATAAGTAACACACAGGAAGGCCAGCCATCTAATCCCTGGAGTTTGTTTTTTAAAATGCTTTACAGAGAAGCATATATTTTTTTATTAACAGTGCAGCAATATCTATAATGATTGAGAAGATCTACCAAAAGAATAAAGCTTCCTACCTCTACAAAAAAACGAAAACAAAAACAAACAGGGAGGGTACAGAAGAAGCAAAAGATTCATTCAACAGGTATATCAGGCCCTAGGATGTACTGTTCTAGGCACTGAGCATACAGCAGAAAGGAAAAAAAAAAAGGTCCTGGGACTCACTGAGCAAACATGCAAGTTAATGACATGCTAGGAAAGAAAATAAAATCAAGTAGTCTTGGAAGGTGTCTCTAAAGACTGACACTGAGTAGAGGCTTTAATCACCTACAAGAGTGAGCCACATAAATGTCTGTGTGAAGAACCTTATGGGCAGATAAGACAGGAAGGAGAAAGTCATGACGCAGGTCGGTGCCTAGGATGTTTATGGAACAGTAAGAAACCATCATGGCCACAGCTAAGCAAAGGAGAGATGATAAAAAATGAGGCTGGGGACAGAGCCAGAATTCATCCTTGACCCTGGGCAAAGAGTGGATTTTTGTCTAACTTGAAAGTCAGTAGAGGTTTGAGGGCAGACAAAAACAGGCTGGGACATGTTTTTCAAGGATATCTGTGACTGATGGGTGAGAATAAACTGTAGAGACAAGAAAGAAACCAGGGGAAATAATTAGGAGCATCTTGAGGTGACACCAACTAGGATGTATTCACACTTCAGAGAAGTTTCATGGTAAAATAAGCTGGATCTATTTTTTGTTACAGAGGGTCATAGGAAAAGACAGCAGAGAAACTGGAGAGTAGCTGGAGCGACTGTGGGCTCATGGGAGGGTGTTTGTTAAGACAGGAGATTAAGTGTATTTGAACGATGCTGGAAATGATTCAGTAGAGAACAAAAAAAATGATCATGGAACAGAGAGAGAACAATTATCCAAGGGAAGTCTTGGATAAGCAAGAGAAAATGGACTTCATGCATGAGTAGAGGGTTTGGCCTCAGACACAGAGAAACATCATCTACATTACAGAAATGAAAGTACAGAATGGACGCAAGCATGGTGGCAGATTCGGTGGGAACGCCATAGGAGTTCAATTGTTTTCCCAGTGAAAGGAGGACAGTTGTCCACTGAAAGTGAAGAAAAGACAAGAAGCGTTAAAGACTTGAGAGGGGGAGGATGATGAGAGACATGATCATCTAAGTCAGAGAGTGAATGTTTGAGAAATAGAGCAGGATTGGCTGACAGTAAAAAAGAACCTCTTAAGGTAGATGGCCACAGATTTAAAGGTCAAAAAGATATTGTTATCTCCCAGGGAAAGTGAAGCGATAAGGAAAGTACCCAAAAAATATTCATTGAGCATTTACTGTGAGACAAACATTATTCAATTTAATCCTCTGAAGTATCTGAAGGGTCACCCCGCTTTATAATTGAGGAAATAGGCTTAGAGAGATGGCAAAGATTTTGCTCCAGGTCAAGACACACAAGTAGAAAATAGTGGACTTGGTTTTGGAATCCAAGAAGACTGACCTGTCATTCTCACACAATCGAGCTGTACCACCCCTGCAAAACCAAATGCTGCCATATTGTCACAAATACACAAACATGTCGACAAGTACTGAATCTAAATGTAAAGTATATGGATATGTATGAATTCTTTCAAGTAAAATTTTCTAATAAGGAGAAAATAAAAATAAAATGGTGTTTTTAAAAGGCTGATAGCATGGTGTATTTGATATAAGATTATGTCCTACATAGGTTATAAGCCAGGCACAGCAGCACATGCCTGTAATCCTAGCTACCTAAGAGGCTATGGCAGGAGGATTGCAAATATAAAACTAGCTTTGGCAACTTGGCAACCTTCTTTCCTTTTTCCTTCCTTCCTTCCTTCCCTCCTAACTTTGTATCTTCCTATCAATCTATCATCTGAACATTATCATTTTAAATTCTGAAAGAGCATATACAAAAGTGTTCCTGAAAAATCTATGGAATTCCTGCTAATCTCTCTTTGAGTGAAAAAAAGCTTCTATAGGAGGCTGGGGATTTAGCTCAGTGGTGCAAGCACCTGCCTGGCAAGCATAAGGTCATGAGTTCAAACCCAGGTACCAAAAACAAAAACAAAACAACATAAAAAGCTTCCATAGAAAGATTATTTCTTTTTCCTTTTTTTTCTTTTTCGTTATACTGGGAATTGAACATAGTCTTTGCACAGAGCTACCTCTGCAGCTCTTTTTTTATTTTTATTTTTTTATTTTGAACAAGGTCTCTCTAAGTTACTAAATTGCCCAGGCTGGGCTCACACTTTTGATCTCCTGTCTCCTGGAGTGCTAGGATTACAGGTGTGCATCATCCTACTTGGCTAGGATTATTCCTAAAACTCTTGGGAAACTGGTCTAATCATTGCTTTTTCTCTTCCTGTGATCTCCTTGGGATCTTTTTATTTTTGGAGTCAGGGTCTTGCTATGTAATTCAGGCTGGCCTTGAACTCACTATGTAGTCCAGGCTGGCCAGGAATTTGTAGCAATCCTGCTGCCTCAGCCTCACAAGTACTAGGATTACAGGCCTGTGCCACCATGCCTGGTTTATAGGGGTCAATTACTTTTACGTTTTGCACATGAATGAAATAATATCCCAGTACTTACAAGATGACACTTTATACTACGGCATTCTGTCATCATTAAGAGGTCTGTCCACACTGCAAAAGTGTGACATGGACGAGGTCTGCAGTAATAGGATAAGAGTCAAAGGTCTCAACAAGAGACATGAGTCAAGAGGCAATTTCCACTTCAGGGGCATCGGCGTGAGGATCACAAGTTTGAGTCTAGGCTGGGTAACTTCAGTGAGACTGTCTCAAAACAAAAAGGTAAGGAAGGAGCTCAGTGGTAGAGTGCTTGCCTACCATGTGTGAGGCCCTGGATTCAATCCCTAGTACTACAAGGAGGAAAAAAAGAGGCAAAAACTGTAGTCTCATGATCTCTGACTTCAAATTCTACCTTTCTCTATTGTCAGCAAGCCCTCAACTCTGATCCTTATTTTAATAATCATGTTTCTGCCTGTGTCTAACTAAGCCTTTTCTCGAATCCATCAGTACTCCCTCATCCCACTTGCTCCCCTTTAAAGGGAAATCTCAAGCCCATTCTTTTTTTGGGGGCGGGGGGGCGGGGGGGGGAGACTTGAACTCAGGACATTGCCCTTCCCAGGCAGGTGCCAACATCATTCTAGATATCTCTCCTCAGATGACTCTTTCTCTACTTTGCTTTGTGTATCAGTGGACCTTGAGGACCCCCTAAACAGGGGTATGTGTCAGGACTGAACACAGGGCTGCCATATTCCCTCTGTCCTGCCAGCTGCCTCTTCCTCAGCCTCTCCTGAGATTACCGACCCTGGAATGGAATAATGACGCAGGTGTCATCTGACTCCCCAGGAGTTTCCAGCTCCACTTAGGTTAAATTTATGAAAGGTCAGA